GGGCGTCTTCAAGGGAATCACAGCCATAAACTATATTTTCCTCCTCCGCGCAGCAGAGAGAGAGGCCTAATAGTTTCTCAGGTCCGCTGGGAACCAGTTAATGCTTTATTCCTCTGCACCAAGTGCAGCCAATAAAGGAGGAAAGGGGATATGGCAGTTTAATACAGCAGCTAATTTTGTGCCTGCCTCGCTGCCAGAAACTATTTGCATGTTGAGTGATGCCAGAAGAGCCGAGTTGATTAATTAGCCTTCTCTCCGGCAGGGAGAATTCAGCAGTGAAAGAGCACAGACGCCGGTCTTCCTGGGCACGCACAGCCCTGGTAGTGGGGCATCCCCGCGGGGGAGCGGGGGCAGTGGTTTGGCATCTGACACCCCACTTCACAGATGTTACTGCAGCTGCATCCAGCCCTGGCTATAAAGGGAGGAGATGGGCCTACTTCTCTCCACAGCATGAGGATGTCACCGCAGCTGGGAACGTGGGGGCCCTCTGCAAGCCTGGAGGATAAAGTGGGGTTTACCAGGGACTGTGGACGGTTTCATTTGATGGACACTGAGCACGTCTACATGAGACACTGAATGCGCAGTAGCCTAATAACACTGCACAATAGCGTGCTGGGCAAAACCCGTGCTAATACACCAGTGCACAGTAGCATTAGGCTACTATGCAGTAACCGTCACTAAAAACCTATGTGCCAGTGCTACTGCCAGTACCATGAGTTACTGCACATTTAGTTAGGACTTCATTAAACAAGTCCTACATTAAATACACAGTAACTACTGTGTATTAATGAAGGTGTAGACGCGCTGGCAGAGTGCTAGGCCGGGTGACTCAGCGCTGTCTTTGGGTCCATAGATGCCCTGCTCTGCTCTGAGGTCACCAGTTCACATCTAGCTCAGGTGTGGAGCAAGCAGCAGGCTTTAAATTAGCCAGCGGCTATCAGGTTGTCCTTGCGAGGTGAGCCTGGCAGTTCAGAGCTTCTCGCAGGTGGGTAGGTGCATCGCGCTCCTCCTGCCACATACCCAGTGCAAGACAAGGGGACAGGAAACTCCTAAGGTGTGGGCAGTGTCAGAGATTGCTATGTTTCCAGTGTCGATAGGCAAACCTGGCCTGCAACATGGGGAACCTTGCACCAAGAAAGGCATGTCGTCCCTTGAAATGTGGGGGCACTGTGAAGGCCTGGAAAACGGGCACTGTGTGACGTAGTCCGATGCCCAGCATGCATGGCATTTCGTGGTGTCTGTGTTGGCAGCGGAGAGGCACCAGGCTGGGTATGAAACGCCTGGACACAGGAGGAGGGGTGGATGTCGTATACTTAGACTTCAGGAAGGCCTTCGATACGGTATCCCACCCCATACTGGTGAACAAGTGAAGAGGCTGTGACGTGGATGACTACACAGTCCGGTGGGTGGCGAATTGGCTGGAGGGTCGCACCCAGAGAGTCGTGGTGGATGGGTCGGTCTCGACCTGGAAGGGTGTGGGCAGTGGGGTCCCACAGGGCTCGGTCCTTGGACCGATACTCTTCAATGTCTTCATCAGTGACTTGGACGAGGGAGTGAAGTGTACTCTGTCCAAGTCTGCGGATGACACAAAGCTATGGGGAGAAGTGGACACGCCGGAGGGCAGGGAACAGCTGCAAGCAGATCTGGACAGGTTGGACAAGTGGGCAGAAAACAAGAGAATGCAGTTCAACAAGGAGAAATGCAAAGTGCTGCACCTAGGGAGGAAAAATGTCCAGCACACCTACAGCCTAGGGACTGACCTGCTGGGTGGCACGGAAGTGGAAAGGGATCTTGGCGTCCTAGTGGACTCCACGATGAACATGAGTCGGCAGTGTGACGAAGCCATCAGAAAAGCCAATGGCACTTTATCGTGCATCAGCAGACGCATGACGAATAGGTCCAAGGAGGTGATACTTCCCCTCTATCGGGCGCTGGTCAGACCGCAGTTGGAGTACTGCGTGCAATTCTGGGCGCCGCACTTCAAGAGGGATGTGGATAACCTGGAGAGGGTCCAGAGAAGGGCCACTCGTATGGTTAAGGGCCTACAGACCAAGCCCTACGAGGAGAAACTAGAGAACCTGGATCTTTTCAGCCTCCGCAAGAGAAGGTTGAGAGGCGACCTTGTGGCTGCCTATAAGTTCATCACGGGGGCACAGAAGGGAATTGGTGAGTAGTTATTCACCAAGGCGCCCCCAGGGGGTACAAGAAATAATGGCCACAAGCTAGCAGAGAGCAGATTTAGATTGGACATTAGGAAGAACTTCTTCACAGTTCGAGTGGCCAAGGTCTGGAACGGGCTCCCAAGGGAGGTGCTGCTCTCCCCTACCCTGG